CTGTGCACCAGCCGGCTCCCGCGGGGAGCCTCTCCCTGCTCCCGGGAAGGGTTCGCCGCGGTGGGACAGGCTGCCGTCCTCACAGCGAGGAGAGAAGCCCCGAGCCTGCCGAGGCGAAGCTGCCGGAAAGCTTGGTGTCGAATAAAGAAGGGTGACTGCGCCTCTTCTTGCTCGGTTCCCTCGCCTCGCACCGTGCTCAGTCCCACGTCTCTGTCCCCAGAAATGCTCGGAAGAGAAGATCGAGATTCTCCAGGGGAAGGTTTCTCTGCTGGAGGACCAGCTGGCCAAGCTGAGGGACTGCAGCGCCCAGGAGAAGGGAGAGGTCATGGGAGACATCCTGAAGGTACAGCGGGGTCTCGAGAGAGCCTCTGGCTCCCGCAGCGAGGGCAGGCAGCGCTCGGGTGGAAAACTCCTCTAGCTGGGGAGAGCAGCGGGTGCTGGGGGGTGCACAGCAAAGCCGTGTGGGGCAGAGCCGGCTGCTCTCTGCTTTTGGGTGGGGGTTGTGGGGCTGAGCACTCTGTGGGAACCCCTTTTGTGCTGAATTTGGGAATACCGCTCCCGGGTAGCTGCTGGCTCCCCCAGCCTCCCGTAGCACGGGTGGGTCGTGGAGGGAGCGGCTCCTGCACGGTGAGAAAAGGCGTTTGGTCCGAGAGAGCAGAGCGGCACAAGGCTAAGGGGAAAGCGGGGTGCTCTGGGGTGCACCGGGGTTGCCGGGAGGGAACGCAAGCGCCGGGATGCAGCACGTGGGTCTCCGGTGAAGGTGTTGGGTGCAGCTCAAGTAATGCCTGGGTGTGTGTGTGTCTTGTTTCCCCCCACCCCCACCCCCCTCTTCTCTCTGCCAGCTGGAGGAGCTGAAGCAGGAGGTGTCCAGCCTTGCCGCTAAAGGGGCCGAGCTCCAGGCCACTGTCCTGCGGCTGGAGGAGGAGAAGCAGCTGCGGGAGGCAGCCCTGCAGTCCGAACGCGGCCGCTTCGAGGAGGAGAAGCAGCAGCTGGGCGGCCTCGTCGCCAGCCTCCAGAGCTCCCTCTCCGAGAGCCACCAGGCCAGGGAGAGGCTGGAGCAGGACCTGCGGGCGCGGGAGGCCGGCGAGCCCCAGGGCACCCCGCTGCGGGGCCGGGAGGCCGAGGCAGAGGCAAGGTGTGAGGGGGAGGCCGGGCGGCTGGCTGCCCTCGACGCCCAGCACGAGAAGACCCTGCGGGAGAGGGACTCTGCCCTGCAGCAGCTCCAGCACCTGCGGGAGGCCAACGCGTCCCTGAGCAGCCAGCTGCAGGCCATGGCGCAGGCCCAGGATACCAGCCAGGCCGCCTCGGCGGAGGAGAAGGCTGAGCTGAGCCGCAAGGTCGGCGAGCTGGAAGCCAGGATCCTCGAGCTCGGCGCCCAGCGGCAGCAGGGAGCGGCGGAGGGGCTGAAAGCCCAGCTGCGGGAGCTGGAGGGCAGGCTGAAGGAGAGCCAGCAGCGGCTGGCCGAGAGGGAGAGGCTGGCCCGGGAGAACACCCGCCTGCAGGAGTGGCTGCTCTTCCTGGAGGAATCCCTGCGGAACACCGAGGGCATCCTGGAGGACGAGAAGAGGCGGGCGGCCGAGAGCCTGGAGGGCAGCCTGGCCAGGATCGCCGAGCTGGAGGCGGAGAGGCAGCAGCTGGTGCAGGGCCGGGAGCCGGCTCCGCAGGAGCGGGGCGAGCAGCCGGCCAAGCGCCGGGCCCTGCAGGAGAGCCGGGAGAAGCCGATGGGAGCCTCCCCCGCTGCCCGAGGGGAGGAAGGAGAGCGCGGGCGGCTGGAGGAGGAGATGCGGGCGCTGAGCCGGGAGCACAGCCGGGCCTGCCAGAGCAGCTGCAGGCCGAGCAGGAGAAGGCGGCCGTGCTGGAGGCCCGGGCAGAGCGCCTGGCCGCTGAGCACCAGGAGAGGCTGGCCGCCCTCCAGGCCGACCTGTCCAGCGCCCGGGCGCGGGCGAAGGAGAAGGAGGGCGAGGAGCAGAGGCTGAGGGCGGAGGTCTCCTCCCTGCGGGAGAAGATGGCCATCGCGGAGCAAGCCGCGGCCCAGCGCGCAGCCGGGCTGGAGGCGGATGCCCGGAGAGCCGCCGAGGCGCTGGAGGGGGTCTCCCAGCAGCTCTCCCAGGAGAAGCTCAAATCCAAGGAGCTGGAAGTCGCCGTGGAGCGGCTGCGGAGCGCGGAGGGCTCCCGGGCGGCCGCCGCCAGCAGGCAGCGGGAGCTGGAGGTGGAGGTGGAGGTGAAGAAGCTGTCCGGGGAGGTGACCCTGCTGGGCGCCAGGCTGGAGGAGACGCTGCGGGAGCACCGGCGAGACCTGGCGTGCCGGGAGGAGGAAGCTGAATGCTTGCGGCAGGAGGCGGGACGGGGCAAGGCGGACTGCACTGCCGAGCGAGCCCGCAAGGCAGAGCTGGAGGCGCAGCTGCAAAACTCCCTCAACGAGCAGAGGGTGGAGCGGTCGGTGCACCGGGAGGAGCTGGCCCGGTCCCGGGAGCTGATGGAGGAGAAGGAGGAGGAGCTGGAGGAGCTCCGCCGGAAAAACATCTCGCGGGGCGAGGAGCTGAGGGACCTGCAGAAGACGGTCAGCAAGCTGAAAGGAGAGCTCGCCTCGGCGGAGGCGGCCAAGGAGCAGGCGCCCAAGGCGGACAATGAGCTGCAGGGCTTCTCGGAGGCCGCTCAGAGCAGGGACGCGGAGGGGGACAGCATCAAGGCCACCTGCTCAAAGGAGATGTCCCGCAAAAGCTTGGAGGAGAAGACCCGTCACAGGGAGCAGGAATCCGGCTCGAGCCAAGACCTTTACCAGGAGAAGCTGAAGGAGACCCAGGCGCTTCATTTGCAAGTGGAGGAGCTGGAGCAAAAGTGCAGGGAGCAGCAGGAGGCTATGGCCGCCCTCGAGCGAGCGGCGGCCGAGGCGGCGATAGCGGAGCAAGCGGAGCTGGAGGCCTCGAGGAGGGAAACGGCCCAGCAGAAGGAGAAGGCGTCGGAGCTGCAGAAGCTGCTGGAGGCCTCGAGGTCGGCGCAGGCTCTGCACGACGGCACCGTGGAGGCCCTGCGGAAGGAGCTGCAGGAGAAGGGCAGGGAGCTGATCCAGAGCAAAACCGCCATCGCCGCCGCCGAGAAGGAGCTGGTGTCCCTCCGCTCCGCGGCGCAGGAGAAGGGCCGCTCGGAGGAGAGCTGGAAGGAGCAAGTGTCCCAGTGCGTCCAGGAGATAGAGAGGAAGAACAGCCTGATCGGCAGCCTGGAGCATGAGGTCTCCATCCTCCATCGGCAGGTGACAGAGAAGGAGGGGGAGAGCAAGGAGCTGAAGCGCCTGATCGTCGCCGAGTCGGAGAAGAGCAAGAAGCTGGAGGAGAGGCTGCGGGTGCTGCAGACGGAGATGGCCACCGCCGCCTCCCGGGCGGCCGAGAGGTGCTCGCTGATGAAGGTGGAGGTGCAGCGGTGCCAGGAGGAGATGGAGAAGCAGCGGCTGGCCATCGAGGCCCTGAAGAGGGACATGCCAGAGCGCGGGAGGACGAGCTGCGCCAGGAGGTGAAGGTCTGCCAGGACAAGTGCCTCCAGAAGGAGCAGCTCCTCGCCGCCCTGCAGCAGGAGCTCGGCAGCGCCCAGGCGCTCGCCGGGGAGCTGCCGGCGCTGAAGCACCTTTGCCAGCAGCTGCAGGCCGAGCGCGCCTCCCTGGAGAGCCAGCACCGCCAGGACCTGGCGC